TACTTTAAGCATTAATAAATTTAGTTTTTTTCTAGATATGGCGAAGTTGTGTCAACAAAGGTTATAGTTGATGTTGTAACTGGGCTATCTCAGGGTTATGGATTTGTTGAAATGAGAAGTGAAGATGAAGCTAGAAGAGTCATTAGACGCTGCGTTGATGCTACGTTAAAGGGATATCAAATTTTTATAGATTATGAATGTGGACGTACTTTGCATGGATGGAAACCAAGGAGACTTGGTAAATAATTAGATAGTATAATAATATCTGCAGAATAAGTGTCATTATATTTTAAATCTGTTATAATTTTGTAGGTGGTGGTTTTGGTGGCAAAAAGGGATCAGGTCAGCTTAGGTTTGGTGGAAGAGATAGGCCTTTTAAGAAACCAATTATACCTAATATTATTAGGTCTAATCCACATCATCAAGAATACCATCATCATCAAGAACATCACCACCATCAAGAACATCATCGTCATCATTATCACTAAGCAAGTTTTATATTCATAATGCAAATTCAAATAAAATGAAACATTAGAACACTTTCTAACAATATTTTCGCGTTATACCTGCGTAATTTCGATTTTGCTCTAATACAAATATTTGAAATCTATATCTGCATTCTCTAAAGAAGTATAAGTCTGTCATGTATTATGAAACACTCAACTATTATTAAACATTTATTTTGTAATATGTAATAAAATATTTAATATATTTTTAGATTATTTTCTAAAATAACATTCAAAATTAAATAAGTGGAAAATCCCCATTAGGAAATTTATGCTTTATCAGAATTCTCCCAATACACTTTTAGTCTTTTAAAGTATCTTTTCTTTCGGTATTGCGTAAATTTTGGCTGATGCCAAAACTATTTGCGTAAATTAATATTGTTTTCGTTTTTGAAAATTACAAAACACATTCTGAACAATATAGTGTTCTTTCTAAAATAAATCCTTAGCCTATCTAAAAAAAAAAAAAAACAGTTTTAATTTATTTAAAATAAAAAAAATTTTCAATTCTCGAATTTCAAAACAAAAATTATCGTAATACAATGTCACAACCTAATTTTATGTCGCTGCAAAAACTCGTTAGCATTCAATCATTTTGGTCCAAGTAAAACTGCGAGAATGCACTTAACTATTCAATTTATTTCATCAGAATATAATTAATACGATCAATGACGTTTAACTCGTTAATAGTGGATATATAGAGTTGATGAATTCAATTGTTTATGCAAATCAAATCCACTCTATAATGAAACTTTCATTGAATCAAATAAAATTATTTGTATAAAGTTTTTTCTTGTATGAAAATAGAATAAAATGATCAAATTCCACCTTCAAGATTGTATACATATACCTGGAGTTTCATATTAAGATCTTGAAATGATTCAACAATGTCGAACTAAATCAACCTTATTTTATAATAAACCTTTCGTAAGATAAACTAAAATTATTACTCCAATTGCTCTATCTATGTAACAACATCATCTTATGTTCCTCCTGAACTCCGCCTCCATTAAGATTTATATTCTCACTGCATATCCGAAGTCTCGCATTAAAAGCTACAAAATAATTCAACTATGTAAAACGGAATCCAACCGACTTTGTAACAAACTTTCTGTTAAATCGATTACTCTATCTAGCCGTCAAATGACTGTTGCTACCAACAGAACAACGTCATCCATGCTTCCTCCCGACTTCATCTTCGAGATTTACACTTCCACTCTCTACATTCGCCAATTAAAATGTGAGAAGATGTTGAGCTTCTCGAGGCGTATGAGAAGCTACAACAGATGTCGCACGGCCAATTAATTAGCAATGGTCGGGAGAGCGAGCAGAGCCAACAGAGGCGAGCATTCTGGCGTGGTGTGAAGCGACGTCGTCAGCGTCGTGGAACTTTATACTCGAGTGTCGCCGGCACCCTCTCCCTAGCACGGCCCCCTCCATATATGGAGCCGCCTCGTGGCCCGACGTCGGCAACGCGGACGAAGTTTCAGCCTCCAGACTGCCTCTGATAAGGTAGCCTCCTCCTTCGACTCGTCTCGCTTTGCGTCGCCTCCACCACGTTCGCCAAGGTCTCGGAGGGGCAACCCACAGCCGGTTTATCGCGGCTCCTATTTGGCCGGTACGGACGCTGCTCCCGTTTTCACAACATAAACGCTGCGCTCTGTCGCCGGTGCTTTTTTTATTCACGGACACAGCTGCCGGAGATGGCAGTTCGTATACTCACGATCCTCGTTCACATTCTGTCACTACTAGATGTTTCATCTTCCCTTCGGCTCGACTTTTACACGCTTTCTTTCCTGTTCGATTTGTTCCTGGGGATAGAGTAGATATATTGGGAAGAAATGGGAGAAGTATTTGTTTGTGATTTATATTTAACATTTTGTAGGACAAATGTTCGTACGTGTGATGTACAGCTACTCGAATTTTTAAATTACACATGTGTAGTACTTTTTCAAAAGATATATAAAACATTGTTCAATTCTTTCAGTTTCTTTCAGAGATAAGTATAACACTTATCTTAAAGACTTTTAAGTCGGAGTGTATATAGAATTATAGGAAGAAAATATTTTTGCTATATTTGTAACTTTTTTTTATCTGTCAATAATTAATATCTTGTCTAGCAAAGATCCTCGAAGACTTGTTGTAATATAGAAATTTACAAATCTTCCTGAATTATGAATATAGAGATAGATGTAGAGTTATCCAGTAATAGTAGTCAGTAGTACAGATAAACGTTTCTTCATACAGTAATAAAATTGCAGAGTTTTAAACAAGATGTGAATTCCTGGCACTTACTTCTCGGTTACTGTACAACCACTGAATAATATGTAAAATATTATACTAATTTTTTATACTCTCCTTCAGGAGTCATATCTATATCTTCATTTTTCTCTTCGTTTGCACATTCTCATGTTTGCACGTTGCCGCATTTTTGCCTCGCATATTTGAATTTCCCGTCTCTTTAACATATTCTTTATGATTTTGAAATTTTCGTTTTTACACCGTTCAAATCTCACAATATCCTTCAAATGAGGGAAGGAGATTTTATGCCGCCTGACAATAAATCTCTTTATTAACCCTTCGACGAAAGATAAGATACTTTCGTAATAAATATTTTTCCTATCTTCTCAGAAGGATGGTGAAAAACCATTTTAAATATAAAATAAAAAAATCAACGATAGAGTCGGTCATTCTGAATAAAATGTTCGATGATGAAGCATTAATAGTCGTTGTATCGTCTTCTCATTGTCAAATTACGTTTTACATACTGTACATTACGGTAACAATAATTACATTAATTTCGCGTGCACAAAGTATGTTGCGGATGACTTCCAGCAAAGGAACTGCCAATTTCGTATTATTATTTGCTGGAGGGTAAATACAATATTATAGTGATAAGTATATCCATGTAGACCAGTGAGCAGTAAACTTCCCATTGGTGGTGAGGTTGGACGCGAAATGACTACGGGACAGATATAATGTAGCTGTATCAGCATTAAAAATAACTTACTCGAGGAAAAATTTATCCTGAATATCTCTGCTTTTCGCTTTAGCATACGTACAGATAATATTCGAAAGGAGCACGGATAAATCTAATATTTTCCATGTGCCTGTTCAGCAGATAGATGTCCCTTAATATAATTCCAAGTTTGAAAATTTTAAGTATTAAATATCTCAAAATTATATCCGTGTTTTTGTATATAAATCACCATTGTGGCAAAGAAAGCTTTTTAATTTTGGAAAAAAAAAAAAATGTGAGAATTCTTTGCTGTACATTTAAATTCGATTGAAAACGTCAGCGAGATTCGTATATAACAAAAATTTTAATCAACTAAAAAAATGATTTTACGTAAAATACATAAATTTTTCTGTATATACACGCAACATTGTAAATTAGGATCAGATAGAAAGTCTAATCCACTCTACGCATCAAATTTTCCCACGATGACTGTTCAAATACATTCGTGTGACGCACTGTGAATACATTTGAAGTAAAATCTCGCGAGAAATATAGTACGATTATTAATAAACCATACTATGCGTGATTAGTTTCAATCGATTGTAAACGTATGTATCAATGCAAAACTAACAAATTTGCGGAACGCAATCGTGTTGCTAATTGCTGTTCCACAGTTTTGCAATTTAAATCGTAGAAAACCGTGGAACGTATTACGTACACACGTTCTGTTCCCTCTGACTCTGGTGATCTAGTTCTCCGCTGTTATTTCTCTGTTTGCTATTTGCTTGAATTCGTTATACCCGTAAATTTTCGTGCCTCTGTCGGTTGCAATAATATTTGGAGATTGGAGCAGAAATATATACGTCATTCGAGTTTTCATGCAAGTAATTTTAAAATTCAATTGTTGTCGAGTCAATTAATCTCACAACATTCCAGCAACATCGTAGTTTTTTATTTGACTTTCAGATAAAATACGTACCTTCATCCTCTTGAATATTAAAAAAAAAAAGAAAAAAAACCATCGATAGTCGTAACATTTGTCAATTCAATTCGATATATGAGTTTTTGTCCTTTTCCAAAATTGCGATTGCACTGAAGCACTTTGCCTAAGCTATCGAGCAAGCATGAGAAAATTAAAAAGCTCAAGAAAAATAAACTTGTATCATTTCCTTTTCTTTTGGCCTCTATGTTATTATATATTCATAAAATATTTCTACACGTACTTCGTATTTTTTATATATGAGAGACCGATCTCTCATCACTGATAAGTCCAGCGAATATTTCACGCAGTTCTTTTCTCAAACACACACACACACA